AATGTGACTGTATGATAGGTAGGTGATTTTTTTAGCAAAAAAGAAGTACTGATTCATCAGTATTGAATCAAGAGATTAGGTTTATGATAAATCAAACTGTTGGAATTTATAAGAAGTGTAGATATTTGATAGTGGATATAGGTTTAGTTTCATTCATATATATAAATAATAAAATATAGTTCTATATATCAATGATTCTTTGAATATATTATCTTTTTGAACCTTTATAGTATGCATATAAGAGATTATTTGAATTAGAATTAGAGTTACTAAAACTATATATTATTAGTTTAGTTTATAGTTCCAAAATCTAAAACTATCAAAACTAATCAAAATAGTTTAAACATCCACCTCTAAATTAGAATATAGATGAATTTAACATTTATTTTTATAATGATTGATTAATGTAACTAATTATTATTACCATACAAACATATTCTTTTTCTAGTTTATTATTTACAACATGACAATGTCAAGCTTGTTCACTTCCATATTCAATTTAAATATAATAATTTAGGTAAATATTTCTGGAACTAAATTCAAGTTCATCAAGAAAATATTTGTTATTCATTAAATCTAAGCAATTAAAAACACTAATTTTTTGCTGCAAATATATTTTAAACATACATTTTAAAATGAATTTAGAATGCATCAGAAGAAATCAATACATACTAATTTTGCTAGTAATAATGCATCTTTATAACTGTTGGAGTCTTTTTTTTCTTTTATTTTTGGCATAGTAAAAAAGATATACAGCATCAATTAATTTATGAACTAGATATTTAATCAACTGTAGAAGGTAAAGAATAGAAATTCGTAATTATTTTACCTAAATAAAAATCAAGATGAGAATATTAGAATTGCTTTACCTTGCAAAATAAGATCAAACTTTGGCAACATCCCATGTCTTACTTCCTTATCATTTTTGAAATAGACATAAATGAACTCTCACTTTTAGTACGTTTTTATATTTCATTGGCCAGTTGATGTCTCTGCAGGTGCTTTATACTTTTTAATCATATGTGATATTGTCATATATAATCAAAAAAAGCATGTATCAATTAGTTTTTGGGATTGAAAATATCTTTCTATTAAAATTAGTTTAGAAAGAATAACCTCTGCAATATACACTTCTTGAAAAATTCTTTCTAGCTGAGTGATTTTTTTTCTAAGTACATGTACAAATATGAGATGATAATATAAATCTTGCTAATATTATCAGGCAGTAAATATATAAATATTGATTAATACTTGGTTGTTTCTTTCTTTTAAAGATTTTTCAATGTGATTAAATCAAATTATATTTAATGTTAATAAATAAATTTTTTTAATCAAGATTATATTATTATATAAAAACTTACTTATATATTTTGCCTTTTTTTATGATGTTTTCTTCATCACTCTCATTATCATCTGATTCATTATTTGATTCTTTTTTGCTAAGTAAATTGTTTAATACATTACATCCTAAAAAATTACAAAACTTTTATAATTTATCTGCTGAAGTTTTTTTATGAATTATGAGATATCACCGGTCTAATTATTTTAAAATATTTAATAAGTTAGCGAATATGAGCAACAAAGTAACTATATATCTTGCATATAAAAAAGCTTTAGATTCTAAGATAAAAAAAATTATATTACAATCATTTGAAAGCTTGTTTATACTTGATTGCTAAATATACGAAGATGCTTTTCAATTAAAATTAAAGATCTGACACTAATTCAAATGATCATAAAATGTTATTTTATTATTTTGTATCTTATAATTAAGAAATTTGTGAGATGTATTCTAACATCATAATTTATCTGAGATAATCTAATATATCTAACACCAAATCCTGAAATACCCAAATTCTAATACTCAAAATTATGTAATATTAATGCCAATGTGCAAAATTTTGATATATATTGGCACGAAGAAATCATGGCTTAAATAGATCTAGAGTCTAAAATTAGCAATTTGAGAATGAGTAATGTAAATAATTTAACTTTTTTTCAAGTAAATTTTATATTGTAGTTAAGTTAATATCGATATATTTATGGAAATCATTACTTTTGAGTATTATTTGTAATAGAGGTTTTTAGCTATTTGCAATATAATCTAATTGATATGTAATATTATGAAGATGAAAAATTAGATGATGATTAGGAGGATGAAGTAACTGATTCATTGCTCAAAATAGAATTGTCACTCAATATTCTTTCATATTACCAACATTCTGAGATATTCATGCTTAACGAGTTGTTTATTGAAAAGTTAGATATATCTTCATACATCAATCAATTATAATAATCTGTTTTGTATAATATATATTTATTTATGACACTCGATTGGACTTAGTCCATTAGACCTATTCCAGTTGATTAATTAGAATATATTAGATATAGTCTAATGACAATAAACTGTATCAATTGGACTGGACTTATTCCAGAGTCCAGTCCAGTTTCAGTCTGGTATTCGGTTAGGACTGGACTGATCTAGTGATAATTCTGGTTATACTTTGGTTAATAACGATAATATTTTTCGATAGCATAGAGGCCATTGGAATAATTCATTCTCCATATGTACTGGATATTTATTTCAAAAGTTCCATCCAAATTCAATATACATATTGTCAATTAAGTTATTTCACTTATAATAGCAATCACTTAGAATAGCAAAGAGAATAATGTTCCAAGCTGTAAAATTATTTATTGGCTTCACAACATATTATTGTTATTTCATCCATGGATTTCTATCCACCCCTTTTCAATTCCCATATTTAATATGCAGTAGGAGTATAATAGTTTTAGGCAGGACAATTAAAATGGGTTATTTAAATCATCAATTTTATAAGTGTGTCTATTGTTCGATTTTCCAATAAATTCATGAGATGTGTACTAATCAAAAAACTAAACTACCAGTTGTCACAATAAGTGAAATTGCAACCAGTTTATTTCTCTATATTACCATGACGAACAAGAAAAATTTGACACTAACAATGAAGCTGTTAAAACTAATCACACGAAGTACATGTATGTGTATTTTTTTTGAGTTACTGTATTCTTGATTGATAGCTTTATTTCTCTAGTTACAAAACCGTATGACACGCTCCTGTCAGTTCAGATTTGTGATATTTCTGTTTCCTGCCAGTGTAAAAGTCACAATGCATAAGTCTCTTAGCATGTACACATCATTCAAATTAGAAAGTTCTGTTCTCGCAATTAACATTAGAAAAATGCATTATTTTTATATGTCTGTACTAACACCAAAGCTAATGAATCTTTTTTTATATTATACATATAATGATAGCTGTAGTTGGAATATCGTTATTGTTATGAATTTGGCAATATTATTAGGTTAGGTAAAAGCTTAAGAGTTGATTTGGTAATTAATCAAGAAAAGAAAGTATGATTTCATTAATTGAAGAAAAAGTATATGCAAGACAATAATGTTATTGATACGCAGTCATTCTTAGAAAGAAATGACAATACACAAAATTCTGGAGTGTAAAGAATGATGCTGCGCCATTAATTGAATTCTTTGTTTTCATGCTAAGATAAAAGCAGGTTGGATGCAATATTTTTTTTATACTTTCTATTCACGTATTAATAAATTAAGATCGAAGAATATCAACAATGAAAGTTGAAATCAAAAAAATATCAATGAAAAAGCTCAAACATCAAATCTATTATTATAAATCCGGTGACGTAAATATCATGGTAGAAAATACGGTGTTCCGTGTACATCAAATAATATTAAAACTTACTTCTGTAGTATTCAGCGACATATTTTCACTTGATCTAAAGTCCAAGGATAAAATCCCTAGGATTCCGCTTTCCAATGAGAATGCAACAGATTTTGCAACTCTTTTGCATTTTCTATATCCAAATATATTTCTAGCAATAACTTGGCAAAATATAGAGTTTCTATTATGATTAGGAGATAAATATATTATTATTCCAGAAGTTCAAAAAGCAGTCGAACATTTCTTAGAAAATAATCTGAGATTCAATCCATTGACGGCATTAATTTTGTCTGAAACATTTGGGTTTAAAAAAGCATTTAAAGAAGCTTCAAAGTTGGTTATTGACAACTTTCCAAAATTCCGTAAATCGGATGATTTCAAAAAACTCAATAATAAAATGCAATTTTCAACTGACGCCGTTTTCAAATAAATCCTATTTCTCGTCCGAAGTTTAGTTTTGATTCTTTTATCAGTTTAATATGCAAAATTTGAGATATATTTAAAGTATCAGTATTTTACAAAAGCAATTTTACATAAGAATATTAAAGCATCCACAGAAATCATATAGAGCAGGTTTAATGTCACAACATTTGAGCATTATAAAAAAATATTAACAAAGGATTTTGCATTAAATTATACACATCCTTACAATATATTACTGGAAATCCTAAAAGCCATGATAATATGCCCTCCCTCGTACACCAGAGACCCCTCGTGTCTGAAGCAATTTTTAAGCAGGTTTAAAGTAACAAACCCGGCGTGAATTATGGGCAAATTACGGTAAGTTTTTGTCAACACAGAATTAGAGAAACATTTACACATGCAACATGACTATTACAGTCTAACGAACTTGTTTAATGTTTCAGCGGATATAAACAAGAAATTTACAAAATATTTCCTTCCTTATATGAGTCCAGGGTGTTCGATGAAAAAATAGAACTATTCAAGTTGCAGTCGATTATGTGAGAGATTGCAATAAGTGAATAACAATTTGGCGAAGGGGAATTATATTGGCGATCTTGAATAAAAGATACAACCTAATAAATTATGTTCCCGGATGGTGCAAACTTATGATTGAAAAATGCTGTGATCCTAACCAGAAAACAGGCCAACTGCTTTAAAAATTATAGACTTTATCTGTATACATGTATTTTGCATTTTCAGTGCTAGCATTAATAAATGGCGTAAGTCAGAAATGCAGAAGTAAGAATCGTAGCTATGAATACTATTGAATTGTATCAAATCTTACCAAATACAAATGAAAACATATCAAGATATAGTAAACACTTTGAGATCAGCATGAGTATGCATTGGAGGTAAGCGTGAGATTGAATCATATCGTGAATCTAGAGAGGTGTGAATTTTATAGAGCGTGCATTCAGCGAGGTTTATCTGTAGTTCGAGAAGCGATAAATTCGTGAAGCACTTCCGACATTATCAGAATAATATTCTATGCGACAAAAGCACTTCAATACATGATCCTGACGAACTATCACTATCGTTATAGTTGTTCGTATATTATTTGACCTTTTATTTTATTCATGTCTTTCTAAATTCATTTTTTTTGTGTTGATTTATAGAGTATAAAGGATCGTAACGAGTAACAACTTTCTCTTATATGATACAAAACATTATTTTTAATATCAAACTATTTTCTAACACCCAAACCACTATTCGTTAATATTATCGGAATATATCTGTCGTTTTTTAATACCTGCAACCAATACACAATTAAACCCAACCTCGGGTTTCAGCACGAATAAATTTTAAAATTTCTCAATTCATAATCAGATCTAGTGTAATATAAACTGAAACGCGCTTTCTTTAAATGCGATAATTGCCAAAGTGCTAATAATTAAAGTTTGTTGACATCGAATATGCATAGACAATTTGTGACAGATTGCGAGAAACTTAAATTCAATTCATGCTTCGGAATAATGTACGTGATGTCAGCAACAGATATTTTAAAAATTATGTAGTTTAAGAAGCAAATTAAATTACATAAACATGTATCATCTATATAACTGAGGATTGTAGAAACTGTTGTTCGAGATATCATGCTCCTACTCTTTGATTCCATCCATATTCAATTAAAGTTATTAGATTCGCTTAAGCAAACTTACTATACATTTGACAAATAAACACATTCATGTATGCTATATTTACTAGCTTATGAAATTGTTCAGAGCTTGTGTTTGTAGCGTTAATGTCACCCTTTTAAGGTAAAACATACTGAATAAATAGTCATCGAACAAAAGGAAGACTGTCGAGAAAGGATCAATGAACTGTGCAAACTCGGCGCTAACCAGAGCTACACGGGTGTAAGAAACAACGCAACCTGACCATTAACAATTACGGAACCGCGCTGATTTACTGAACACGACCCAATCAGGCACGGCTAGTATTATTCGATGACTAAAACCCAGCAGTTCACCAAAAAAAAATGGCCACCTTGCTTAAACATTCAAACCCCGGAAAAGCAG